TGTTGAGGACTTGAAACTTCCCACAGATGAAGAAAAGAGGAACCTGGTATTGTCTCTCTGGACAGAGTGTTTACTCCACGTAGTCTAATGCCTCTGTAGAGAGAACTGTAATTTTCTATGCTCATATTTTCATTAAAGGGGAGATTTAATTCTAGGTGACTCCTGGTGCCCTGATTAGCACTCTGGGTGGAAGCATGGTTCTACCACAGCAGGGAGAAGCTGACACGTTTCCACATGTACTCATGGACATGAGAGGGAAAGCAGGAAAGTACTAGTTATCCCAGACGGAGACTTCTGACAAGTTTATTTAATCCAGTGTTGTAGAAAAGGCACAATTCCAGGACATATGTCCTAGAGAATTATGTCATTAACTCCTTTTAAAGAGCCTCCTTAGCTCCAAAAATACTTTTTAACAATTAAAACTTAGGAAGAAAGTTGGGTTTTGTTACAATGAAAATATACATATCTTTGCGTATCCATGCCCCCATCCCCATTAAAATAAACACATTTCATGAAATATTGCCACATGAATCAGCAGCTGGATGTGAGGGGCGCTTTCAGATGCTGCTTAGAAGATGACAGAAGAGCCAGAGACTAAAAAAAAAACAAACCAAAGACCAAGTATATAAAAAATACTCAAAGTCTGAGGTCTTTTCTTTGAGTCTAAAGTGCATAGACGTTGATACTTAAAAATATTGCTGTAGCATTTATGTAAAAATAGAATATTCTTTCTGGCAAAAGTTGGGGCTGAAAGCAGTGGCTGTCTCAACAATTAAGTTTAGTCCATCTCAGGCAAGGGCAGGCTGTTGACCTGTACAGGTGATGATAGTTGACACTGAGTAGAGAAAGTCAGGTGGCAAAGTAGAAGCCCTGTTTTATCTGAACCTTTGGGCAGTCCTTTACTCTGGGGAGACAGTCAACTCGTATATGGAAGTAACTCACACGTAAGGACAAATCAGGAAAAATGGACATCTTGGTTAAAACCAAGGTGCCAGGTGGGTGCTCCCAGGCCATTTACACATTTGTAGGTAGAAAAAGAATAAAGATGGGCCATACAGCAGAAAATACATTAGTACTAGTGCCTCTGCCTCAAAAGGCCTAGGTCCCCATTTAAGAATATAAATACTTACGGGTGTTCCGGTCATAAAAGCTTTTATATAGAAACCCTAAGGTTTATTTAATACAGCAGCAGCTTAATACAAAAGCTTATTAAATGTGTCTTCAGGTTGTGCTAAAAATTACTCATCTTCCTTCAGGAGTATGACAAGCTGTAGGAGTTTGTCACCCTGTGCCTCATTCACACAAGCATGGAGCAGGATGCTAACGTAATACTAATGCAGGCAACGGCACTGTCCGGTAATTCTCCATCAAGAGTAGGATTCATGTTTGGTAATTAGGAGAGAGAACAACAGATTTCAGGAAATTGATCACCACAACTGGATCCATCAGGAAAAGAAATCATTACATTTTCTTCACAAGAAGACTGCATAACTGGTGAGAATATTTTAGCTTTTCCATGGAGCAGCTGTTTCATTGCTTGGGAGAAAGTTCTTTCTGTGAGCATTGTAGTGTGGACAGCCGCTTTCCATGCACACGGGCAATGAGTAGGTTGGTTTCTTTAATGAGTCTCACAAGATTTCAATGTCCCACTTCTGTGTTTCTTCTCCCTCCAGGGGCTGATTGACAATAACATAAGTCTTGTCATAATAGTCTCCTCCTAAAATGAAATCGCAAAAGAAAAGATTTGCAAAGCAGTCTGAAATGGAAAACAGTTTGAACAACATAGCCATTATTCACCTCAAAATAGACCTTATTGTCATACTGAAAAGCTAGAAAATACAACTGTAGATGCACAGTGCCCAACATACATACACGGAATACCATACAAAACAAAGTTCCCCTAGTAAACTCTAGGCAAGTGTCAGGTATTGTTTGTTTCTACAGCAACAGTGGCTGAGCCTAACCCAACTAGAGCAACAACCATAAATAATACTGGCCCTGACCTTGCAGAATTGAACAAGGTTGCTCCTGCCATAAATTGTAACTGAGGGCTTTTAAGGATCACGGCAATTCAGCACAAAAGATGTCCTCGGAAAGTAACAGATGGCATCCTTTATTTTGTAGATTTTTGGTGCTTCAAATTTAGAATTCTAACAGTTTGTGAAAATTAAGGTTTGGAGTGAAAATTTTACTATTCTAATGTAGGGAAGCTATTTAGACACAATTGTTGGGTTTTGTTGTTTTCTGCTTCCATGACCCTTAGAATTGGTTAGTTTCTTCTTAGCACACCTTTTTTAATATCAGAGGCCCACCTTTAACATCCAGGACAAGTTCATCGCTGAGATAAGAGCTGATGGTTCCATTTCTGTTCAGTCTCCACTTCTGCCTGAATTGCCCATGTTCAGTCCACAAGGCCACCTTGGCCCCAGGTGTGTCCCGGCCACCAATCACATCGAGACATGTATCACTGGCCTACAAAACGGTTAAGAAATGACCACTGCATGTGCCAATATAAATACACAGGGTTCTTTTTCCTTAGAGTAAGTCACAGACATTCAGTCTTTAAAAATATTTATGGCTGATGGGGAATAGGTACCAAAAATGAATAAAGAAAGGTCTGTTGAATTGGAATGTTAAATCCCTATTAGCTTAAATGTGCTACGTGATGCTTGGTTTCTATTTTGAACTAACAAAACACCGTGGCAAAGATATTCACATACATAAGCAGGTACTAAATTATTTTTAAATGCCTTTTCATTTTAAAGCATGAAAAGTTGACGTAGTAATATAAAAACACCACAGTGTTTTTCTGAATTAGTGCTCTGTTCCTAGAGCATCAACCATCAATGAGGGGAAAATCTTGTTAACTTAATTTTTTAAGCATCTTTCATACCAGATTCTTCTATGACTCCACTGAATACTCTGAAAAGGGTTTTATCATGTTTAGAATTACAGCGACAACTGATTTTATCTGGGTTACCAAATAAGGAATGCTTTTCATAAAAGCATATTGTCCAATTTCATTTAGGTATGTGTTAACCACTGTTCTTGTACTTTAAGTCCATTTTACATACATCAGCATTTTAATGATTATACAATGAACTGTTTCTAGGAAGCCAACGATGTTTTCAGCATGCCAGCATGAGCATGGCAGTATTGAAGCTAACATACAAATGCCAACATCAGAAAGCATTGTCTTTTAAGCATTGTCTTTTACCTTGGATTTAAAGAGTCCTCGGCAGTAGTGCCAGATCTGTGTGTCCTTCCCGCTGTAGGGAGAAATGCACACAGACATTGTTCGTGCATCAGCTAGGTTCCCAGTGACTGTCAAATACTCATCCTGGGCTCGGTTTCTTATTCTGATGTACACTGCAGGCTACAAAAAGAGGAAAGCCATTTAAGGGCGCTGAGGGGGGCAGGATAAAAACCTTAAACTTTCACACTGGAAAAGCAATCTTTCCAAAGCAGGAAAGGGAGAAGGTATTTTTTGGTTTCACTCATTTCCTTTGGCTGATATTTACTGATAAATCCTTGATCACAAAGCTTATTTTGTGCAGTGTCTGTTAAACATTCTGAAGGTATGAATCTTCGAGGGTAAAAGATAATAGTTGCATTCACTCGATTGTGCCACGGCTGGGGCAGTGGAGAATTAGGGAGTTGGTGAGTTTTATCACATCTCAAATATTCTGGGAGGGAGAGTAAAGGCCAGGTACTACCCAACATGGATCTTAGTGACAATACAGGAACAGCAAGCACAGTAATCAGGCAGTCTGGAGCAGTGATTAAATGGCCAACAGCTGGTAAGTAAGGTCTTGGAAACCCAGACAGAAAGGCCTTCTTTCATCTAAGAAAGAACTGTTTCCACATTCAAAAGTCAGACTGCACTCCTTCGTCTAGAAAATATATGACAGGAATTTGAGACCATTAAGAATAACAGTTAATTTGCTCAGCCTTTATAGAGACATCAAGCCACGTGCTAAGTGTTCTTCTTTGCTTCTAATTTTTGTCAGAATAACCAGAACCTTTCAGAGAAAGCACCCTTCGTGGCTCCAGTTTTATAAAGTTGCATAGATAGGGAGCCAGGTTTCTGGCAAGATGCTCAGAGACCCATGCAGGAAAATGACTATAAAACAGTAGAAGGGCACTGGAAGCCACTGAACAGGAAGCATCCTGAATCCAAGGCCTCAGGACCTAGAGATAAAGTACAAAACATTATCCCTTCTTGGTAAGAGCTGGGATCCCAAATAAAACTCTGGCGGGGCAATACATGATCTGAGACTTAAGTGAAGCGTGGTAGTCTATGGTAATACCACGAGGGAATATTGTGTTCTGAAACTTAAGACAACATAAAGTTGGTTGCATTTTGGGTAAGTTGCTACCGTGTTTAGCATTTCTAAGGAAACTAAGGGTTTAAATTACAGTAGAAAGGCAAGTGATTTGGCCATAGAACCCTGTCAGGTGCCTTAAAAAGTGGACTACTTACACATTCACGTTTGTAACCATCCTGGTAGCACAAGAAATCTTACTGTGTGGCCTTCCCTTTAGCTATTGGCCTCCTGAAAGAAATGAACTTTCCCCTCGAATCCCAAGCTGAGAAAACAGTAAAGCTGAAGGCCTGAGGAACTGTTTCTCAACAAGAGATTGCACAGTTCTGACAACTTACCAGAACACCTTCCAGGACAGCCTTGGTCTTAAACAATGAGTTCACCATCATCAGGGCTGAGGCCCAAACCTTGACAAGGACTGCTTAATTAGACATACCTTTAGCCCTCTATTTAGAGACCACCTTGTCTCCAAGACTGGATAGGTGGGATCCTTTATTGTGAACATGGTACATTGACTAAATTTGTGTCCCCACTTTTACTAGTTCTCTGGCATCAATAATTATAACTGTAATAATGTACTTAAATACCCACAACTCAGTGTTGTCTTCCACAGTACCAGTTATTAATTCTTGAAGCTTCATTACGTTGCCTATGTAAAGAAACAGGTATGACCTTCACAGCTGACAGAACTCCAATTACCTTAGGACTAAACATCATAGTTTTAATCAATTAGACCAAGCAAGGTACTAATTACCCTTATTACCATTTGTAGTCTGACTCCTTTGTAATTACACTTAAAATTACTGAAAAGCATTGTAAATATCTTAGTGACTTTTGGATTCCCAGCCTCAAGGAGATCACGTTTTAATTATTCCCTGGTTCCTCAACAAGGATATGAACTGCAGCAGTCCCAATATCTGGGCCAAAGTAAAAAACTACTAAACTACTGTTTTCAAAAACTGAATTCTTTTGTTGAGTTTCAAAGCTGTGGCCCAACTAAACAATGGGGAAAATAACCTAAAGATTATTTTGAGATTAATACCAAGAATTTGAAAGTTTCAAATAAGTTCTGTTTCTGAAGACACCATGTACTTTGGACATAGAACTTAGAAAATCTGAACTGGGTTTTACCTGAAACCTTCCTCCCTGAGTACAGCTTTCAGAGTACCAGAAGATGCTATGCAAGCTGCCAAGGGAAGTAAGCAATTGATAGACCTACCCAGCTGTGATGTCTATGAAACACATTAACCAGCACAGCCAGATATTCCTAAAGGTACCATAGTGGTGAGCATAGCTGTAACAGACTGCTTTCTAATTGGACACTCAGCAAGAGGGAAACCTTGCCTGGTGCTGGAAAGCTAGCCAGACCCAGGGAGGTCATGGAATTTAAGAATACTAAGCCAGCACAATCCTAACTGCATTCTAAATATGTGAACAAACAGAAGTGTGGCTCTCATCCCTTGTCAAAGAAGCTTCTCTTTGCAACAGATGGAGACCATCACAGAAAAATACAGCAACGACAATACTAAAAGACATGCTAAGTGAGTATGTGTGTGTGTGTGTAGCAAAAGAAAAAGACCACGAATTCAAGAGGGAGTGAGAAAGTGGGGTGGGGAGTGGAAAAGGTTGTAAGGAGAGGAAGTGTGAAAATTATATTTTAATTCAAATTATGCAAAAAAGGCTTGTTTGTAAAATTAAGAGGTTATTCTAGGCATTCTTTCTTATGGGACCCTGAACCATGGAAATTGTTTTCCTTGTCCATTAGAGAAGCCATTTAAAATGAGATGATTGAGGATGTAATTCAATGGTAGAGGCTTACCATGCATGAGGCCTTTGGTCAGAACTCAGTGCAGGAAGCTAAAACAGGAGCATAGTACTACACTAGCTGCTACATTTTTTTTGGAACATAGGGTTAATACTAGGTGGTCTTTAAAGGCCTAACTTGCTTTTTCCCTGTGGCTATTTAGTTGAATTATCCATTACCCCACAGACTGGGACTGAGGAGCATCCTACCATTATATACCAAGAGACCACTACTGTTTTAGTGTCCTTCATCAGACCGCTCTGGCTCTCAAGGAACACAGAAACAGTGTGCTTTCAAAGTGATGTTGAGGTAAGTTCAATGTGTATCTATATGCTACTGAATATTCACAATGACAACAGTAGCTTCACCAGTGAGGGACCAGAGGCACTAAGAAATGAAGTGACCAATCAAAATCACATTGCTTGTAAACAGCTATGATTTGAAGTCACAGACTCTAAGAGTGTTTTGAAGGAGATGGCAAAACAAAAATAAACAACAATTTGGTTAATTATAGGACACTGAGGTTGGCAAATCAGCATCAGCACCAGTATCTACTAGACATAGTGCTCACTGCTTGGAATGCAAGGTAGAGCTTGGCAAATGGTGATCTTATTTTGAAAGATTCCAGGTACTTAAGAACTTATACAGAAAAGATCTGGGTTCACATCTTGATTCTAACATTTGGGTTGCTTTTGTCAAACCACTTGGTTTTCCAGTGATGATTCCTACCTAAAGACTGTCAGAATCAGTTAAGCAGTGTTGTAAAGAGAATGGAGACAAGAGTCATGTTACCTGTTACACATCTGGCCTGACGTGGAGACTTCACCAGGTCTACATGTACTACTTCACTTCCTGGTGCCACACACTGCCTGTGGCTTTTGATAATCATGCATTGTTTTGATTTATACTACAGCTTTGTGTGGTGTTGGGGGCTCACAAGTATGTATGTGTGCATATATGTGGAGGTCAGAGGGCAACATTAGTATGGTGAGACGGTGTTTCACTTGCCTGGAACTTGACAACTGTTGGAGGAAAGCTGGCCAGGAGCTCCTCCTGCCCCCACTTCCCTTGTGATGGAATTAGCTATGTGTACCATCATGCCTGTCTTTTGATGTGGGTGTTGAGGATCAAATATGTTTAACCCACAACTACAGCTAGGGGACAGATGACATACATTCATTCATTCCTTTAGAACAAACAGTTCTGAGCCCTTGGTTTCTCACCATTGTGACAGAGCAACAGGTGAAATAGGCATTGCAACTCCTCAAAGTGGTTTCCCACAGAGGTGATATGAGCCCAGTGGTTATCAACTATATGCAGTGTCTTGTAAAAATAACCATTCGAAGTCTTTAAACATGTGAGTGAGCAGATGAGGGAGGAAGCAAGGAGGAGTCCGATCCCACAAGGAACACAGATTGATCCTGGCTCAGTAGGAAGCTTTGGAACTTGGTAAGACTGCCAAGCAGTGGGTGTGTGATAAATACTACTTTAATTAAATTGCCAGGATTCAACCTGACAGTTACATAAGTAAATAATCCAAATGCAAAGAAAGTAAAACTAAAAATATTACAGCTATTTTCCCCATTTTCTTTTTACCACAGAATTTATTTTTATTCTATTTTAACTTTTGTGAAAAGAATATGGCTAATGGCACTCTGGATTCAATACTAAAACCCAATATTGACCTTAAAGCTTCATGAACTGGCTAAGAATATAAAGTCCCCCTTGGTTATACAAGTAACCAAGGTCAATATTTCAAATACTGTGAATATTTCATATACTGTGGTTTATGTTATGACATTTTTGCCAGAAAAATCGAGTTATCTGTCAGTTCTCTACTTCATACCTGCTTCATAGGACGGACAGAACCAATCGTTTTCCACCCACTAAATGCTGTCCAGTTAGGGATTTCATTAGGCATAAGGAGGATTTGCCTTCCCAAGAAATTGGATCCTTCATAAGCTATCCATCTGCAGGAAAGCAAAAAAGAAAAACGTGGGACACTGCAAACAGCAAAAGCGGTCTCTTACTGAGAACAACTGTTAGGCCATTATGCTATACAGCTTCAGGGTCTGCAGATTTAAGTAAATTATCAACGATTTTTCTTGAGGATAGATAGTCACCACATCTGGAGTCAGAATGAAATGTTGGCCTCCTGCACTTCCAAAATGAATGAGTTTCCCAACTATGAAATTCTCTTTGTCTCCTGGAACTCACTCTATAGACCATGCTGGTCTCAAACTCACAGATCTGCCTGCCCCTGCCTCCCAAGTGCTGGGGTTAAAGGAATGTACCACCACCATCCGGCTTTCTATTTCTTTGACATAGCAAGTCTCAAAGCACTTTATAACACTGAAATATGTATCTTGGCCTCCCACCATTACTTAGAATGAAAACAGTCTTCCTTCCGTAGATTGTCACATGTGCTTCAGAGCTTCTCCAGGTAGCTGATACTTCTCTAGACATTTACATGTCTGTCCACAACTTCCCAAGGCCACCAAGAACTACCCACAGAAATTCCCCTTTTACTCTTTTTCAAAGATGGCTCCTTTGCAAGTCTTCCCTAACACTGTTGTGTCTAATCTTGGTTGTGTAAAAGTGGTCAGTGCCTTGGGTGAGAACCAGGACATTACTGGTGTACAGTCATGTCCATTTCTTTCCAGCTTGGCTTTTGCACCACCACAACAGCTTCCTAAGTGTGAGACAGGAAACCCACAAACTGAAAGCATTCTCTGGCTCTTGACAGAACAGTTTGCTGAGCCCTGTGTTCACGGAGTTGCCAAACTGTGTAACTAAACACTAGGACTGCCAGAAGAACCCACAATTTACAGGGAGACTCAAGGTCTCTGAGACACTTTAAACAAAGTGTGGAGGATAAGGCTTGCTTCAGACATGGGCCTCTGGTGGGGCAGTATGTGTTGTACAATGTTTAATCAGTGGGTAACCCAGGAGATGAGGTGCAGAGCACCAATAGCAGGGACGCATGCCTGTGTATGGTGGGGCGAGGGCAGCGTTCCCTGAAAAAGGTTTTCTCAAGGCTTGTGGTGTGGACCAGTGTCCCCTACGGTCCTATGTGACAGTATATAGTCTACAACTACCTGGGATGTAGTTGAACCTTCAGGATGCGGCACCTGGTGGGAGGTTCTTGAAGGGGCATTGTTACCCTGGTCCCTTCCTTTTGCTTCTTGGCTCATGGATGTGGGGTTTTTCTTTTGTTGTTTTGTTTTTTTCCCCCAACTCACATTCCTATCCTTCCTGGTATGCTACCAGAGGCCTGAAGCATCTGCCTGCTGATCTCAGACTAAAACCGGAAGAACAAATCTTTTCTACCTGCCGCCTCTGGCATTTGGTACAGTGACAGGAAGCCATTGCTGCTATAGCAGTAGCTCCTGTCCTTTAGTTTTACAGAGGAAAAGTTCTTTATCTTACACAGGAGCATTGGTTAGTACAAGAAAAGACCAGTTCCTACACAGGAGGGAAGGACTAAGAAAGTCTGAATTAATTAGAGTCCTGACTCAAACTGACTTCCGTATGAAGAAGTCCCTTTTCCCACAACTCAGATCAGCCTTGGGCAAATTATGTGCATGCTCAGGCAGTGGGGGTAGACAGCCTTCCACTGACGTGTTACTACTGCCTGCACAAATCCAATCATCCACGTGCAAAGGCAAGGCACAATGACACACACGCTAAGCCACCTCTCCAGCTTTTAACACATGAATCCCACAAATGGAAAAAGTATGTGGGATCTCATTGCCATCATGGATCCTAGATGCAGCAGTGCACAGCTTGCCATGGAGTAGGTGACTGGGCATGAAATGATCTCCAGGAAGGCCTTTAAACAGATCCACTGCGCTTGAATCTGTTCAGCCGTTCTGTTGTGGAGAATTGTGAGTAGCAGAGAGAGAAAAAGCAACCAAGAATAAAGAGTGTCAAGGTGCAACTGCACACATTTTCTAGAAAGGAGTAAAAACAGGAAGGTGAAAACTCCAGCAGTATGTCAAATAACTTAGATATGTAAGAAAAAAAAAGTGTGAAAATCCTATAGAGGGTTTTGAAATGCAACTCAAGTGGTACTGGTTAACTGGCAAGTAATATTCTGGAGTCCTATGCTAGGACAGTAAACCAATTAATTTTAATAAGGGCAAACCATGTACAATACTTTTCAGAAGAAAATTTAAATTGTTATATGTATGAATTATGGTAAGAGCCATTTTGTAACAGTTGACTTAATTTTCAATTTATCTTCTTTTATTAATTACCCCATATATTTAAAGAGTTAATTACCACACCATTTAAAAGCCACTAGCAATAAAGCCATTTTTATATTAACTATCAACAGCTAGGCATGTTTTCATAGTTGAGTTTTGGTTGAAAATACCAGCAGTTGCAGGGCATTGGTGGTGCATGCCTTTAATCCCAGCACTCGGGAGGCAGAGGCAGGGGGATATATGTGAGTTTGAGGCCAGCCTGGTCTCCAGAGCAAGTGCCAGGATAGGCTTCAAAGCTACACAGAGAAACCCTGTCTCGAAAAACAAAAAACAAACAAACAAAATATCAGCAGTTCAGGAACAGGAGCTGGCTTCTGTGTCATACTCTCAGGAATGGACAGAGAGGGAGATTTCCCAGGAAACAAAGCTTCAACTACAGGCCTCGCCACAGACTGTTAAACACAGATGCTCAAGTACTACCTAATATGTACATTAATAACAGTGCTTTTAAAAGATAGTTTCTCAAAATGTAAACACACAGGGTCTGTGCAAGCTGGCTCCACTCTGACTAGGAACAGAAATTTTGGGAGGTGGGCTGCATCAACCAGTGTGGTCCATGCGAAAACGAGCATTCCAGTAGGGACTGCTTTTGGACAAACAAGCTGTCAAGGTCAAAGTAAAATCAAACCATATTAAGTCTTTTAAATAGTCACTTGCCTTCTTACACAGGCAATGCTATTCACAGTCAAATGGAAGATTGCATGAAATTTCCCTTGATAGGGCAGTGAGTTCAAGTAAGGAAAGCTAACTGGTGGAAATGCTTTATGACCAATGCTCTCCGGGTACCGGCCCTCCTCCCCAAAGGGTTCCTGTCCCCGATCACTACATGCCATCATGTCCTGGGCATGGCTCCATCTCCTCTTATTTAAACAGAAGCTTCTACTGTATCAAGAGGAACAGGAGCACCAGCAGGCTAACGGAGCAGTGGTGGGTAAGCAGCAGCCAAGCAGCCTTATAATCAATGGCTAACCCAGACTGAGCCTCTCTCCCCTACTCACAATCCACTCTTTATCCATACAGACTGGGTGTAGAAGTGGAGGTCCTTGTTCAAAACAGAATTCACAGCGTCTTCAAGAAGTAACTCTCGTCCCTCACAGTGCTCCAGGGCAAAAAGGCTGATGGAAGGTTCTTCAAAAACCTAACACAGAAAGAGAAGAAAGCATGGTCATGGAGGTGGGCACTACTCAAAGACAACCTAGTCCCAAATACATCCCCAGGAGAAAGTGAAAGGGCACTCTTACGTGAAAACATAGCTAGAATGTGCACACCGAGGCAGTTTTCTCACTGAAACTAGTTCATGTCAGACAACAGGAGCAATGCTGTTCCTTTTCTGCCATTAGGATATGCATGAGAGCGAAGAGATTTGAGAAATGAGATTCCAAAACAAGGCCACACCCCTGTGTTTGAGGCATTATTAACTAGCAGAGAAGTTAGAAGAATTATAGTAATACTATAATGCAACATAAGGCATAAAAATAAGTAAATACGCTCTGTGAGAGTACTCAGGAAAAGGAAGGTTACTTTTTAGCAGGACAAAAAATCAGTGGCAATGCCTGGATGCTACATGGCTGAATGGATGCAGCGGAGTTATAAGAGGCAAAGGTTGAGGGAAGGCGTTTTGTGCAAAGTAGGCATGTGAAGGGTGGACCTGGGGTACACGGGTGGACATAGTGGGGACTGAATCCAGGGGAGTAGTCAGCAGAACCAACCCGAGAGAAAACAAGTCCCACAGGAAAGGTGTTAGCTGTGCTCACTGACTGGTTTCATGGACCGAGTTGCCACATTTCCTGCTGAGCTGACAGGGCATCAATAGATTGACTGCCAAGACAGTGGTCTGGACTAAGTAAGACTGCCATGAAGCAGTGTCCAAGCAGCCAGAACTGTAGCTGGTCAAATATGAGTAAATAAAGGCTCCTAGCTTCTCATTTTCAAATGTTTATCTATGTGGAGATGCATGTGTGTTGAAGCCAGAGGTCCATGAGAAGAGAAAGCAAAAAGGCATCCAGTGGGAAGGTAGGAATGGTAACAGAACACTGTAAAAAGAAAGGGGAGCTACTGGAGGTCTGAGAGCTTGGGAGAGGGCAGAGGATGGAATCAGGAGAAGAGTCAGCTAAAACTAAGAGTCAGGAAAAATGTCACAAAGCTCACCTGCTACTTTGAAAGCTAACTGGAACATTTTTTAAACGTGAGAATTAAATATCAAAAACCGTTTTGCTCACAAGTGAGCATATATACTTGCAATGGAGCAAAATGACTTGTGAATTATCCCTTATAGAGGTGGGACGGTGAAGGCATGGGAATGATTTAAATGTCTGTCTTAGGAGGGGACTGGCTCAGTGAATAAGGCAGGTACTCAGAGAGGAATCCCAGGGAGCTGTGCAAAGGACAAGAAGCTCTTTATAGAGAGATCACCAAGATGAAGTCTGTCTGCAGAGTCAGGAACAGAGAGACGATACAAAAGTGCATACTTCACAGGATACCAGTTTACAGAAAAAGGGAAATTCATACATATGCTTCTATATGCATTAAACTTTGTCTTTAAAAAAATCACTGCCTTTTCTAAGACAGTGTCTAAGAAAGAAAAGGGCACAAGAGGAACAAAAGCTTTTTATTTAGTTTTTTTTCGAGACAGGGTTTCTCTGTGTAGCTTTGGAGCCTATCCTGGCACTCACTCTGGAGACCAGGCTGGCCTCGAACTCAGAGATCCGCCTGCCTCTGCCTCCCGAGTGCTGGCATTAAAGGCGGCACCAATACCTGGCTGGAACAAAAGCTCTTGCTGATTTTTGATTTTGAACCCTGGTTATATATAATTTATTCAGAAATATATACTGGTGATAGTTGACAATATATATATGTAGGTGTTTTGTGGGGTTTTCTTAATATGGCCACTAGGAAATCTACCCGGCAACAGCATGAATAAAGAATAGAGAGATGGGAAGTAACAGTGCCAATATACTAGTAAATATTTGAGGTCAAACAGAAAGTGAACACATGATATGGGGAGGGATAATTTGGAAACAAGGCAAAGGCAGGAAAACTGGAACAGTGATCAAGTAGGTATGCTAAGACGAGCAACCGGCTACGCAAGGGAGGATCAGTGCAAAGGTGGAGCTGGTGGGGGCAGTGGCTAAGTATCTGCCATGCGATCCTAAGAACCTGAATTTGGATCCTCAGCATCTAAGAAAAAGCTGAGCTTGGTAGCATGCACTTGTAACCCTGATGCTGGCAGAGTGGGAACAGAGGTCACTGGAGCTTGTTGTGCCCAGCCAGTCTAGCCAGCTCCTAAGTTCTGCATTCAGTGATACCCTGCCTCAAAAACCAAGGCACCCCACTCAGCCTTTGGTCTCTATTGCTCACATATATGCATGCATGCACACATTTAAAAAGAAAAGTAAAAGTTATGGCTAGAAGCATTGGTATAGATATTGTTACCTACAAGGAAATCTGTAGAAAAATGTGGCCATGTCCATTAGAATTGGAAGTCCTCATTCTAGAATAGGAGAAGGATAAGCTCGGGAGATGTGGGGCATATGCTGGGCTCCGATATGGACTTCAGAGACGGCCTGGTGTAGAGAAGGTACACCTTTGGAAACGTCAAGGAGCTGTACAATAACCAAAGCTCTAGGTGGGCGGTGGTGGCACATGCCTTTAGTCCCAGCACTTGGGAGGCAGAGGCAGGTAGATCTCTTGGAGTTTAAGGCCAGCCTGGTCTACAGAGTGAGTTCCAGGACAGCCAGGACTGTTACACAAGGAACCCTGTCTTGAAAAACTACTACTAATAATAACAATAATAACAATAACCAAAGCCTGAGTTGAAAGAAGAAACCAGGAGGAGGATATCATTGTTCTGACTGACGGACAGGTGGGGACAGGTGGGGAGTGATGACAGACTAACCAGGCAGAAAAAAGCCCTTCTGAGGCTGCTGAGTCAGAGACAGCAGTGAGGCTGTGTAGGTTGGCCAGTGAGGCTACTGATGGCGACCTGATGAGTGAGAACTGTTTTATGGGTGTGTCACATATGAAGAGAGAATCAGGCTGGGAAGGCTGAGGAGTAAACGTCAAAAAGTGCAGACAAGGCGGGTATATACGACTCTCTGGAAATACTAACGTGGAGAATGAGCATAGGGGTTTCTGAACCTGCTTATGGGCACCACACAAAGTCACATCCAACAGAAAGACTGATTGATGGAAGACAAGAGGGACGGCTGAGAGGAAGAGGAAGAAATTAATGGTTCATGTTAATGGGTCTCTTTGAAAGGGATGTACTATACGGCTTCTGAAATATAACCTGCTCAGTCTGTATAATGCTACTTGTATGGATATGATTTCAAGGCTGATGTCTTGGTATTAGATATCCAATTTGGGAGCGCTACCCTAGGGAGAAGCCATTCTCCCATTCTCAGCAGTGTTTGGTTCCTGTAGTCTCATCAACATGGCTGCCTGTACAAGCCCAAACACCAACAGACATGCTAACAGGGAAGGGGTCAATCTTCTAGGGCTACAATGCTAGACAGAGAGAATGTATACCTTTAACATTGTGGGCCCAAGGGCCTAGAAATCAAGTCTTTTACTCTTTCCATAACTTTCCGTAGCAATAGAAATTGTGTATGTCTACTCTGTCCTATATGGCTCTACTAGAGGCATGTTGGTAGGAACACTGAGAATGTAGTTCACCTGACCAATGAACTAAAGCCATTTCGTTACATTTAAACTTAAATGATCATGTGGCTAGTGCATGGGATTAGACTGTGCAGAACTAGATATTACAAGATAGCAGAAAAGAAGTGAGCAATCAACTCATGGGCAGAAAGTGTGAACTAAAAGTGAAATGCTACCTAGAAGCACTGGTCTTCCTTCCGGGAACATCACTTATTGGGCTGGGAGGAGAAATTCATTACTAGTCACCAACTTCTCAATTCTCTGGTTGCTTCCCCTGAGATCCCAATAGTTGACACAATAACACTGATTTAAAAATGAGATTAAGTCCATAAGAAGCTTCTGGATGTATTGTTGAGACTTTTTCAATATCCTCATCTTCAAGGTTTTCAAAAAGCAGAGGTCAGTTTTCAGCTGACCTCTGTCCACACATCAATTTGGTGAGCCATGGCTTAGGAGAAGGGCAGACAGGCAAGGAAGGAGCCTGGAAAGGGTTCAGAATCAACCATCAACAGCTCTCTCCAGGAAAGTGTCTCCTAATGCCAAAGGTGACAGACAGTAAAAGTTTGACAGTCACACAGTGAAACTTGCAATCTGGGAGGAGGGGGCAGAGGGAGGGAGCCTATGAGAGACTGAATTTCAAATTCTTGGCATTATTCTAAGTAAAGCAGGGCGAGTGTCTTCTTTTCTTTTCTTTTGACACAGGGTTTCTCTGTGTTACAGCCCTGGCTGTCCTGGAACTCCCTTTGTAGACCAGGTTGGCCTTGAACTCACTGAGATCCACCTGCCTCCCCTGTCCCACCTGTGTTTGCCTCCCAAGTGCAAGGGCGTACACCACCGCCCCCCTCCCCAGCCCTTCTTCTCTTTTACAGATACTTGCTAAGGCATTTTTGAAAAGGCTGCTTTTATGGTCAAACTCCATCAAATTTGTTACCTCTAGCAAGTCAACATCTTAGAAATTTATCTTAAAGATGGAAAGTTTGAGGGTACAAGAATATTTTTCTATTTAAAACGATTCAGGGAAATAGAGAAAAATGTATTAAATAACTGAGATAATGTCTTAAAGTGTTTTTAAGAGTTTAAATGAATCCATAAAGGATAGTTTAAGAGAGCAACTGGGTTAAACGGGCAAACAGTACAACCTAGCAGCATTAACCAAATAAGAGATAGGACTAATAAAGCAAACTGGGGATATGACCCACTTCCCTTCTGATATTGAAAGGGCATCATCCAGTCTCGTCCAGCAAACTTTTCACTTGAGAGCATCCATTGTTGCTAAACTCAAAGATTCCTCTTCTAGAGGTCTGATATATCAGATATATCTATGTGTGGATTATTAAGTTTTGTACTGTTTCAACTTAAATGTTTCCTTTATAAATATGTATAAATGTATGCATACAACTGATTTGCACATGTATTCAAAGCACTGGAAGATCAGAAGGGTGACCCGGCGCTGATCTGGACATGAGTATGGAAATTATG